AGGAAAAACAAGGGATATACCCTGTCATTTGTATTAATCAAAAAAGTAGTTACAAAAAAAGGATATGATGTATATCCAAGGAATTGGAAGATAGAAAAGATAGTTTCTCAGAACTAGTGATATATGACTTTCTTCTTTCAAACATCCATGAAGGTGAAGAGAGGGTCTTGCCGTCATTCACCGTTGACACAGATATAAGAAAGAACCAAAGCCAGCCATATATATAGTAACAAGAAACTAAACTTTCTATAGTCCAATAGCCACAAAATCTCAAGAAAACTACAAAAACTGTTCTTATGTACATATCTCCAAAAAACTGACATTCACAGTCCCATTACATATAAGCTGTTAAGTGATTCTGCTAATCGGGTCTTTCTCCAGTTTAGCTTGAATATTCCGAGCTGCCACTCCATTACCAGAGCCTGTCCAGTCCTTTAAACAAGATATAGAGAAGTTAATAATGGACTTAAAAGAGAACGGAATTTGATCAAAAATGCACTTATTCCTCGAAGTCCATAAACTCCAACAGACAGAAGCAAAAATGGTTCTCCAAAGTGAGCCTTCCATTCCTCTCAGAGTTTCAATCCTATTCATAAGCTCTTCCAAAGTATTAGTCCAATTGAAAGGTAAGAAGTAGTGTAAGAAGTGCTGCCAAACTTTTCTGGATATAGGACAAGAAAAGAACAAATGTTCTCTGGTTTCCAAATCAAGCCCACAAAAAGAACAAAGAGAATCTCCAAGCCAGCCCTTAAGCTGAAGAATCTCTTTAGTATGCACTTTATTTAGAGAGAGAAGCCAGAGAAAAATGCGAACTTTGGAGGGGATAATGGCATTCCAAATGACTTTGTATAAAGGACTCTTAATGCCTCTCCTAACAAGGAAATTGTAAAAAGATTTGACCGAGAACTGTCTGTTAGAGGTGAGAATCCATGTAGGTTGATCACAGCTATTAGAAGCATGAAAGTCTTTGATGAGATTCAGAAGGTCAGTTTTCTCTGCTTGAGCACGAGGAAGAATACTTCTTCTCATCAATAAATGCCACTGCCACTCATTATCAATGTAGAGACCTTGGCTTCTAATAGATGCATTAGAGGACAAGGCTAACTTGTAAGGTTCAGGGAAAAGACTAGCTAAGTTGCTGTATCCAGTCCATTTATCTTCCCAGAATCTTATACTATCTCCAGAGCCAATCAACCATTTTATGTTATGAAAGAAAGCATCCTTTTTAGATAAAACATCATTCCAAAATGATGAGTTAGATGACTTGAAAACTGTGGCCTGCAGATTAGTGCCATTGTGAACATAAAGATGGTGAAGAAAATTGCCAGATGTTGAATTTTTATCCAAACACTTCCATAGCCATTTGGATAGAAGAGAACAATTGAACAAGGAAATATCCTTAACTCCTAGACCTCCCTCATCTTTAGATAAACAAACTTTCTTCCAGTTAACGAGGCATTTGAAGGAATTAGAATCTGTCTTTCCTGTCCATAAGAAGTGTTTCCTGATTTTATCAATGTCTTTAATAAGCCATTTAGGTAGCTTATAAAAAGACATATAGTATAAAGGAACTGAAGTAAGTACTGAATTTAACAGGACCAGTCTCCCTCCGTAAGATAATACATTCTTCTTCCAAGATGCTAATTTCCTATAGAGATTGTCAATCAGAGGCTGCCAGTCTGATTTTGATAACTTGCCATATTTAAGAGGTAACCCAAGATACTTGATAGGAAGTTGAGCAACTTTACAGTCCAGTGCAGATGCTAGAGCATGGGCCTTGCGATGGATATTGCCAAAATATATAAGGGATGATTTAGAATAGTTAATGCTCAGACCAGAAACGTCCTCAAAAATGTAGAGAATTGTTTTAAGAATAGAGATGTCATGTAGGGAACTTTTCACAAAAAGCAGTGTATCATCCGCAAATTGAAGTATCCTCAGAAGATTTAAAGGATGCTTAAGACCAAGAGATGATAACAGGCCCCCCTCAGCATTGTTCATAATCATTTTGTTCAAAACATCTACAGCAATATTGAATAACATTGGGGATAGAGGATCACCTTGCTTAATGCCTCGTTTACAAGGGAAAAACTTTGTGGGAGAACCATTAACAAGAATAGCACAAGAAGAGGATGAAATAATTTGAAGAATCCATGAACACCATCTAGTTCCAAAGCCCCTAGCTCTCAACAAGTCAATGAGAAAAGCCCAGTCTATAGAATCAAAAGCTTTAGCAAAATCAATCTTAAACATAGCAACTTCCTTCTTTTTTTTTGAACAAGCATGAATCATTTCATTAGCTTGAAGAATAGAATCAAGAGTAGATTTTCCAGCTTGAAAAGCAGATTGTGAAGATGCAACCAAGGATGACATGTGATGTGACAGCCTATTTGCCAAAATTTTAGAGAAAATTTTAAAAATGCAATTGATAAGGCTAATTGGTCTGAAATCTGTCACCTTAGAACAGTCCTTGATTTTGGGGACCAAAGTGATAAAAACTTTGTTGACTCTGTAGATATGGGATGGGTTGTCATGAAAAAAATGCATAAGAGCAATAAGATCTGTCTTAATCAAATCCCAAAAAGTTTGATAAAAAGCCATAGAGAAACCATCAGGTCCTGGAGCTTTATTTGCATTCATACCAAACACAGCACTTTTAATTTCTGCTTCAGAAAATTGATCTTTCAGAGATAATAGATTAGTCTCTTGTTCAGGATATAGAGTAGACCAATCAAGATGCATGTGTTTATTTTTGGTATGCCCCATTTGACTTTCTAGAAGAAATACATCCAAGGACATTCTTTTTCCACCATTTAAGACTTTTCTTAAGGAGCTTTAATTTAAAAATGAAGATATCAACAGGATTACCATGAACTTGGAAAGAAAGCCAACATTTAGAAACAAAAGGGATGAAGTCTGTGCTATGGAACCAACTTCTCTCAAAACGAAAAATAGGATGGAAACTCTTCATCTCACCACTGTCAAGAATAATAGGGAAATGATCAGAACCAGTTGCAGGTGGAGAGGATTGAATGCACAAAGGAAACTTATTTTCCCAATCAGAATTAATAAGAAATCTGTCAAGTCTTGCCAAAGAGGGGTTATGCCTTTTATTTGACCAAGTAAAGCATCTACCAGATAAAGGTAAATCAATGAGTGATAAAGAGGAAATGAAGTCCCTAAAAGACTTAATATCCCTAAGAGATCCATCACGACCATTACGTTCATCAGAGGATAAAGTAACATTGAAATCTCCACATAAAATCCACGGACCAGGAAGAATGAAACGAATTCTGTCTAACTCCCACCAGCAAACTGCTCTATCTTCTCTGTCAGTAGGAGCATAAACGGATGTGAAAATAAAAGACCAATTTGTTGGTTTATGATGAAGATGAACTGAAACAGAGAAGATCCCTACATAAGACTGAACTAAGGAAAAAGCATCAGACCAACCTACTAAAACTCCTCCTCTAGATTCTGTGGAATTAAGATGACACCATTGAGAAAGTCTCATGCCCCCAATTGATTGAAGTTTTTTAGGAGAAGGATCACAAAGTTTACTTTCTTGAAAACCAACAACATCAATATAATGGCTATGGAGATAATCCTTAACCATCCGCCTTTTAATTGGGCCATTTAGACCCCGAACATTCCAAGAAGTAAATTTCATTGAAAAGGAAAATATAAACCATACCAACAACTGACCCAAAAACAGGCAATCATCATTTAGCCTCTTTATTCCTCTCTACTTCTTTGGATTGAATAATATTCATAGATTTCTCCGAAAGAA